GTTCCTATCTGTACCAGTGTACATCCTCTGGTCTAGCCAGACTTGCAAGGTCGAATTCGAGTCATGGTAGTGGGAACGCAGAGGAAACATTTAGGAACTAGAGGAAGGTTGTATTTCTCATCATTGTTACATCGCACCCTGACTGGCTCATCTCCTCCCCGAGACCCCTCTGCAAGGGGATCTTAGGTTGTCATCTGACTCATATTCTCAAATTTCCTCATCTTTTCCCAGGAAGATGGGAAAAAATGCAATCATAATAGTAAAGTACTCACAGCCCAGGGCCTGGGTGGCACTGTATCTGACCTCCTGTGGCTTCCCTATTAGCATGAGGCCTAGGTAAACAATGCCTCCCCCTCCCCCTTTCTTTACCTATTCTGACACCTTCTTTTTCCCTCCCACTCTGCTTGTCCTCTGGCTTTGATCATTTGTTACAATAGCCACACAGAACTCCCCAGGCTTATTAGGGTAGTTAACAAGTTACCCAAAGCCAGGATCAGTAAACAGTAAGGATACAGTCATTGTCAACAGCAACCCCTCCTCAGCCAGAAATCAGTTCTCTTTCTGGGCCGCAGCCTCTCAGCTACATGGTTTCTTGGCCTCTGGCTCTGTGCGCCATGAAGCCCACCCACTGCTCTGCCTCATAGGTTCAGTACTGCTCTTCAGTTCTGCCCCATGGGCTCCTTGCCATAGCTCCTGTGCCTCTGGTCTTGAATTCCACCACTCCGACAAAGATCTTGAATGTATTATTCCACACTTGAATGTGGTCCTGGGATTCTCCCTGTTTCTGAGGCTCATCCAGGTAGCCATGGGAATGAAAACCGAACCCAACCAATTGGTGCACCCAATGGCTGGATTCCACAAACATGGATAGAAGAACCACATTAAGAAATTACCACAGTGTCATATTACATCAAATCCACAATTAGCTTTGAATTTTCTTTTTTTTTGAGAGTGAGTCAGTGAATGAGAGTGAGTGAGTGAGAGTGAGTCAGTGATTGAGAGTGAGTGAATTAGAGAGAGAGAGTGAGTGAGTGAGAGAGTGTGAGAGAGTGAGGGAGGGAG